CATGCCTTAAAAATAAACCACTGAAGGTTTTAAAACTGATTGTGGGCAGAATTTATGGATAGAAATCTCATTTTTCAACTCCTTTTTATAGTTTGACAAACATATTTTGATTTTTTCAAATTTCATGGCAATACCTTGAAAATGAGTTGCGCCATCTATGTCCCTTCAATCCCATTCAAACGCCTTTTTTTTGCGATGGGTTCAAAAATGAGACGCGCCATCTATGTCCCTTAAATTGCATTCAAATCTTTCAAAATTTCACTGCCACACCTTGAAAATGAACCACTGAATGTTTTTGTGGGCAGAATTCATGGATAGACATCTGATTTTGAAACATATTTTGACATATTTTGACAAAAATATTTTGAAAAAACAACTTTCAAAATTTCATTGTGATAACTTGAAAATGAGTTGCGCCATCTACTGTATGTTCCGGTCATTTTTGCTTGCTTACATTCTATACACCATATACTGTGGTATATATATATATATATGAGTATACATATGGGGGTGTCCTAAAATGAGAGGCAACCCACGGCCCCACGATGGCACCTGCCACGTGATCGCTTCGCATCGAAGGCTGCGGCCCATTTTTCCAGGGACCCAAAAATGAATTACACAATCAATAATGGCCTTAAATCCCCTTCAGATGCCACTCATTGTTTGAAGGATCCTAATCCACTGTATTGAAATTGCATTGAAATTCCGCTTTGGTAAGGATCCGAAAGTCAATTGCGCCATCCCAACCCCACTCAAATACGTTTTAAAAAGGAATTGTGCCATCTATATCCCTTATTGTCAATTCGAATTTCACGAAATCCCATCAACATCCCACAAATTCACCGCAACATGCAACGTGTTTTCTGGTGCGCCAGCTGGTTTCTGTCTCCTCTAAAGGACCCTAATGTTACGAAATAAAACGGGGCATCAGGACGCACTGTCTGCGTCGCCCCCGACATTGATATTTCAAATTCTGAATTCATACAGTACAATGAGTTACTCCGGGGTAGAAATGGATGGTGCTAATTTTTGAAATGCGCCATCTATAGACCACTTGGGGAATGGGATGTTTTGCGCCATCTATAGGTTACCACTGCATTCCATTTGCAAAGGGAAAGGAGGAGGGAAAGGAGAAAGGAGAAAGGGAAAGGGAATTGAGAAAAGGAAGGGGGAAAGGGAAAGGAGAATGTGAAAGGGGGAAGGGAATGAGAAAGGGAAAGGAGAAAGGGGAAATGGGGAAAGGAGAAAGGGGAGGGAAAAGGGAAAGGAGAAGGGGAAAGGAGAAAGGGAAAGGGACAGTGAAAGGGAGAGGGAAAGGAGAAAGGAGACTGGAGAAAGCGAAAGGGACAGGGAACATGATGTCTTTCCTGGTGGTTTTGCCTCCTGTCTTGGCATAACTCTGATCGATGTGGCATATGTTGGTTAGGTTGGTTGATGGATGTCGGGAGATATGAGGGAGTTGCGCCATCTATGTGGGCATTTGCAGCCTGATTTTGGCGAATGAGTGGGAGTTGCGCCATCTATGTCCCTAAAAAAGACATATGTTTTGCAATGCTCTACGCTCTGGCAATTGCCACTTTGCTTGGCCCCGGAAAACGGACCCCACCAAGTTCCCCGAAAAAGAGCTTTTTCGTGAGTTTCCCAAAGGAAACTTGACACTTGGTGGGGTCCGTTTTCCGGGGCGAACCCAACTGGAAAATTGTTCCTCAGGTCACTTGTTAAAATTGGGTTTTAAAGCGTCTCGACCTTTGCTGGCTCAAAACAACTTCTGTCATTTCGCCAAAATCAGGCTGGGAATGCCCACATAGATGGCGCAACTCCCCGGGAGTTGCGCCATCTATGTCCCAAAAAGGCAGCTTGATGTTGAGAAAAAATTATGGGGAGAAACCAGCGCAGAAGATTGCAAAAAATATGTCATTTTTAGGGACATAGATGGCTCAACTGCCCTTTTTTAAAGGGAGTTGAGCCATCTATCCCCCTTTTTTTTTTGACATAGATGGCGCAACTCAAGATTCCGCGCCATCTACTTTGAGTTTCGAGTAGTTACTTAGATAAGGATGAGTATATATATATATATATATATGGGACTATGGTGACCACCAGCTGCGTCTTACAATTGCGCCCAGGTGCGTCACCACAGTCCCGCGGGTACGTTTACACGGGTCCCCGGGAGGTGTCTTCGATGGTCACCGACCTCCCAGGGACCCCGGTGACCCCCCGCATATATAAATATATAAAGTATAAGAAGTTTTACGTCTATTCAGACGGTACACACACACACCCCGCCTCCGGCAGGGTGGTGCGCGTAAACATGAGATGAAGATGAGGATGAACAGGGGATGAAAGATGAGATGAGAGTGAAAATGAGATGAAAGTTACTTAACCAGGACGCGAAGAGGGGAACGCAAAAGAAGAGGGAAGGAGAAAACACACACCAACACACCTAGCCCGGAACGGGCGAACCCTGAAAAGGCAAGGGAAAAGAAAAAGCGGAGGGTCGACGGACACGGACCAAGACCAACGGAGGGGGGGGAAGACGGAAGCGCCTGAACCAACCTGACACAGCGAAAACCTACAAAAACCTCAGCACGCGACGGAGCCAACCTACCTGGGGAGGGAAGAAAGCATGAGATAGGGGACCAATGGGGAACTAGTTGGTGAAGACAAAACCAAACAACAAACAGGATTCAGTTCCTAAACCTAAAGGTCGTGCGATTATTCCCTGCACCGGGACCGTGGTCAAGTCTTGCCCCAATTGGCATAAAACGGCTGTCAAGTTCCAGCCAATTAAGTGCACAATATGTTTGACCTCACCAGACAACCATCAAAAGAAAAAAGACCACACCTGCAAGACGTGTGCCTACCTGTAACCTATCACATGGTCATGTTGCACTTTCAAAAGCTGAAGCTGCAGAAAAAACGAGGTTTCTGATGGTTTCGACCGCTTTCACTCAGATAGAAAGGCAATATGGCGAGGAACCCTGGGACAGCCGGATCGGCGAGACTTTGTGAAAATGGTGCAAAACAGTAAGGCCGACAGTTTCGCTTTACTTAAGTGAATTACCATATTAAAATGTGTAAATTCTGGAGTCAAGTCAGTCGACATTCACCCTGAACAGGGTTGCCTCAATTGGCCCTATGGCACCATGTCGGAGTCACCATAGGAATCACACTAGACAAGAATGGATCATTATATGATCCGGCAGGAACTGAGTCCTGTGACATGCATA